CTCTCACTCACCCTCATCCTCCAGTTCTCATTCCACATCCGCCCACCAATCCTCTTTCCAACATCCCCCAGCTATTCTCACCTTGTCCTCGCAAATCAGCAAACCAGCGGGCTCAGCACCACCCCGCTGGTCTACAACCTGGCTCTTCACCTCGCCAGACAAGAAACCCGCACTCGTATTCGGTCATCAGCAGGCCCATGTACTGGTGTGGCCTGAGGGCAAAGATAAGATCTTGCGCTTTGAGCGTGATGATGAGGATGAGCAGGAGGAGTCAGACGACAGTTTGTTCGATATACTCACTGGGCGGACGCCGATACCTGAGTTGAACGGGGACAGTAGGGAGGAAGAAAGGATGGAGGAAGATGAGTTTGGGGATAGTGTAGGGACGGTACAAGGGCTCGATGATACATTCAGAGGGAAAGGGGGGAGGGAAGATATACATGATGATCGAGAAGGCGAAGAGCGGGAGCAGAGTCTGTACGAAGAGGGCGTGTTAGGCGAGAGCGGGATGAGCGAGATGTTCTAACACTCAAGCACTACACCTGTGGAGTTTTGACAATTTTTTTAAGAAATATACCCAAACAATTCTCTACTAAAACACCACAATCCCGAACATAAGCACCCTTCCCCATCACCTATAACCTATTTCTTCCCCCCATCCTCATCCTGGAACCCCCACCGCCCCGTCTGATCCAGACCCAGCGGATTCTGCCCCGTCTGCTCCTTGCCCGCAATACTCTCGGGTTTACTCTCATAGCTATCCTTGTTCTGGCCGCCCAGCAGCTCAGACTTTTCTTCTTCGTGGCCCATGAGGGGGCCGAGTGCGGGACGCGTGGTGCCGCCGAGGGCGTTGCCGAGGGGGCCTGTTACGCCTTTTTCGAGGGGCGCGCCGAGGGGGCGGAGGGCTGTGCCTAGGACGTTGCCTGGACGGGAGGGTTAGAGGGGGGTTGGGTTGGAGTAAGTTGTGGTGGGAGGTGTGGTGGTGCTGGTGGTGATTTGGGTGAGAGGAGAGAGGGAGAGAAGACGTACCAATAGGGTCTCCGACCTTGCTCAAAAGACCTCCAGAGCCCTTCTTCTCCTCTTGCTCGTCATTCTGGGGCTCAGTCTGGATGTGCTGTTGCTGCGGCTCTTCCTTGTCTGACATGATGAACGATTTCGGCTTGTGCGTTCCAGTTACTGTAAATGTGTATAGGTCTGTTTTGTTTGTTTATTCCAAGAATGTGAAAACGCGGTAGAAGCTAGGAGTTTATGGATTTAGTTGCCTAAGGGTCTTGAGCGCAACGGCTTTATGTTAGTTGCGCAGGTTACGCGGCGCGGCGCGTTTCCAAGCTTCGGGGTGGTTGTGACGTCACTTGTCATGGGTGGGGAGGTTTGACGCGCTCCCTGGCTTTTTGGTGGGGTACGGTACGCGACAAGGAGGTTCACGGCATCACCGCGATAATTGCATCAATCGAGGGATCCATACTTGAGAGTAGAGATCCAATTTTCGTAGGAAAGACCATGTGGTATAGTGAGCATGGTAGCAGGCACTGAGAGCACCGCGCGGAACCTGTCTTCCGTTGATGTCCATGTGCACAAAACTCCGCCAGATGCAAGTGTTCCCACGACACACAAGGATGGCCAGGAGCAAGAAGCAAACTACGTTTCATCATCAGGATGACGCATCCCCCACCGTGAATTCGCAGTACGCAAAACAAAAAGGAACAATCTGGTAAAACACTTTTGAAATGCAGGAGGATGCTCGCTCATCTGGTCCACGTGGATTGAGTACTCGAGGATTGACGCTACGGCGAAATCGTCTTGCAGCTGCGATGTCAGTGTTTGAGATCTTGTGTGAGCAGGGACAACTTACTTGTCATTGATAGTAACATGTACGACCATGTTTAGCCCGCGACAGTGGGACGAGCGCTCGGATCGATGTCCTCTTTGGTATGATGCGCAAAGGTCGAGACGTCGATAACCTTGTCATGCTTGTATCCCATCCTCGGGTATCTACCAACTCGGATGAACTTGCAACCGCTTAAAAACTTGCCTCGCCAATCAGCATCCAAATCGTCGCCGTTCTCGTGGTGAACGTTGAGCAAGATGGTCTTGACAACTCTTGACGGCCCTGTCTTGAGATAGTCGAAGTTGTTGACGTACTCGTATCCACCACGGGCGCGATAGCTGGTATCGACCATCTCCAAGAGTCGATCCACGAGACACTTGCCGATTCCCTTGGAAACGAACCCTGGGTGGACAAACAACTCCATCTCGAACGTGTAGCGGTATAGAGTCGCCTGACCACAGAAGTCGTCGAGGTGGATGAAACCGACTATCTTTTCGTTGACATAGCCCGGGTCGACCCGGTGCTGGTTGCTCTTGGAGACGGCTACTAGATATGGGAGGCCTGCGCTGGTAATATCCGTGATTCTCGCAGCGATTTGAGCCACAGTACGTTCGTCGAACTCGTTTGCGAAGATGGTATCCCTGACGTAAAAGTTGTAGATCTCCTATAATTGGTGTTAGCAGGACATGTGTTTCTGATGCAATTTAGGATATCCAACTTACTGCGATGCCCCGGACATCCATCGCCTGAATGGGTCGAATATATATGTTGGCTTCAGGGCGCAAGCGACGGTCCACGATTGGTTGAACAGGGGCCTTTGACTCTGGTATGGGACGGTTCCGTTTCGCCATCGTTTTGCGATACTTGTCCTCTTTATGCTTCTTTAATGCCTGAACTTTGGCTTCGGCGGAAGCTAATTGATGAGGTTCATTCGTTTCCGGGTCAACCCTAAAATCTGGAGCTTTGAGAGCGTGAAGATAGCTGGACGCGTGTGTGAGGCGCTTCTGGTCCTGGCTGCCATCGACATCGATGGTCTCCTCATAGATGATATCCTCGTAAAGCTCCCACCAAGGTAAGTAGTCGATGAGATCGTTTTTGTCCACAAGTTCAGGCTTGGACTTCGTTGTTACAAGTTTCTGCCAGTTTACCCTAAGGTTGTCGCCCTCAACCTTTACCTCTAGCCAGTAGCGAGGTGCAACTTCTTTTCCGAGGGTGAACGTGTTAGGTGGGAGGTACACTTGGACCTCAGCTTCGCCAGGGGTTGCGTTAAACCATCGCTCTATGTGGGCGCCAAAATGACGGTCTGCATGACCTTTGCGTCCAATCCATGTCTCAGGGGCGGGCAGCCAGTGACCATTCCAGTCTGTCAGCTTCTTGATGTCGTAATCTGGGTCTCCATTGCTGTTGGACCTGAAGCTGATGCCACCATCACTGTCGCTGCTTGAGGGTATATACTTCATATCCTTTGTCTTGGGCCAGACTGTCTTCTTGTAAGGCTGTGGACCTCGAGGCCATCGTGGATTTCCCGGAGCTTTGGTAGTGGGTGGAGACTCAGCCTTGGGCTGGTCCCAGCCGTTGTAGGTGGTGGGCTCTGGCATCGCAGATCCACGCTGCCCGTTCTTTCCATTGCCGCCCGACGTTGTTGGTGAGGAAGAAGACGAATCTTGCTGATGATTCGCACCGTTGCTGCAAAGGTGTTAGTAAACCTAGATTGTATGACGTTTGTCACGGCATCGAGGCGCGCGATGGTAGACTTACGAGATAAGATCAGGCTTGCTGTTTATCGCTAGCTTCGACTGATTGGACGTAGAACGCGATCCGTTGACAGCAACACCGCTGTCATGGGCAGAGTCTGCCTTTCCACCGTCGGCAGAGCTGCGGTTGCGGAGGTGAGGTGGGACGTAGACACTCGCTTTTCCGTTGGATGGCCCGGCCATGTTGTTGGCAGTTTTCTTCTTCTTGTTGCGCGGGGATCTCTTGTTAGGCGGCTTCTGATTATTTTCTGGGTCCGTGGCGCGGGGTGTAGTTGGAGAAGTAAGGTTGGCAGGTTCGACGGTACTAGCGTGGTGAGCGGCTGCCTTACCACGGCCGTTTCGACGCGGTTGCTTGGGTACGTTAGAGAATTCGGATTGCCGAGCTAGCCAGCTATCCGGGTCGTCTGGTTGCACGGGATCGTTCTCCTCAGCCGCGAATGGCACCCAGTGACGATGGCCAGATTGAGGCTTGTTAAGCTAGTGTTGTGTGTTAGTTGTGTTGTAAGAGTTGGTGAAGTGGTAAGACTGGGCGCAAGTGACAAGACTTATAAGCCGTCACTCTGGGGCGGTATGATGTCGGTACGGGAAGCGAGGTGCGCCTTCACTTACCGAGAGGTTTCCGAAGTCCTTTTCCTGCTGCCAAGTCATGGGTTCTTTGGCGAGCTTCGTGTCGACCTGAGCGTCCTTGACTATATCATCTTCCAGCTCGATCAATTGAGGTAGCGGAGGCAGTGTGCTGCGCGGGCACCAATTACGCGCGGTGCGGCTCATGATGCAGGATTCCGACACTTCTGACTGGGAAGAGAACGAGAGGACCCCAAACAATGCTGATGAGAGCAGAAGGAGCGACCAAGATGAAAAAGAAGAAGATATCCTTGAGATGTAGAAGCATGCAAAGGCCTGGGTCACGGTTTTCTAGCGATGAGTCTGCCTAATAGGTTTGGCGAGAGCATGCCAGCTTCGCCTCACCTCACCTCTTTCCTCATTGAATTTTACCTTGTCATGACACATCCCACGTGTCTATCGCTAGTGTCTACCGAGAAAAGCAGGCAGCCACAATAAAGACAGAACATTACGGAAAGAGTTACCAATGCGGCATGAAGACGCATCTAGGTACACAATATTATGAGACAGTAAATGATTATACATCTAATGAAATAGACGAACGGATAATTAGACGATATTTCCTAAGCCATTTTCCAGAATAAACTCACTGATAGAAAATGGAAGGCGGGATGAAGATATCTGAGATTGCTGAAAGGCGACGTGATAACGGTGTTGTTGCTTTAGCATGCAATACCGTCACCTGGGCAGATGCAAGTGTCCGTAAACAGTTTAGCCGATGAAGGGACGAGCTCCGCACTTACTCGACTGACTGCCTGACAGACAGACAGAACTCGGAAAGTGAAACGCACAAAATGCTGTCAATACTACGGAAGGCGCGTCTCAAGGACAAGGAGATGCGAATCTTGATGCTGTGCGTATTCCAAAAGTTTTTGCGAGATCGGAGGCTCACTGCATCAGTGGGCTTGACAATGCGGGAAAGACGACCATCGTGAAGAAGATCATGAACGAGGATGTGAACAGTGTCAGCCCTACGCTTGGTTTCATCATCAAGACGATCGAGTATGACGGGTACGTATGACAAACCTTGGCCGCCTGATGAGACTGACGGAACAGCTACAAACTCAATATATGTACTGCACCTGGTTGTTCCCTCGCAAGCGTGTACTAACAGCACAGGGGATGTCGGTGGCCAGAAGACATTGCGGACGTACTGGAAGAACTATTTTGAGAAGACTGACACGCTCATCTGGGTTGTCGATGCGACTGACCGCGAGCGGATAGACGATTGTCGACAGGAATTGGCGGGGTTGCTGCTGGAAGAGGTTTGCACAAGCATGAACCCTCCCAAGCGTTACGAGCTAACAAAAGAAGCGTTTATCTGGAGCCAGTCTGCTTGTGTTCAGAAACAAGAGCGATGTGCCGGGGTCCATGACGGAAGACGAGATTCGCGAGGTGGGTGAGGGCTTAGGAAGATGTTGAGCCTGGTTGGCGGGCCAATGCTGACGGCGGCGTACAGGGACTGCGACTCGACGCCATCAAGACACACAAATGGCACATTATGGCCTGCAGCGCCATGACGGGAATGAACTTGCAGGAGGGGCTGGAGTGGGTGGTGCAGGATGCAAAGGCGCGACTGTTCTTGTATTGATGCTTGTCGGCATGCATCGCGGTGCCAGGGTCACGGCAGCCCAAAGGCTGGATGCGGGTAGTATAGCGGTAGTCGAATGACAAGCTCCAACCGCCCAAGTGTGGAGCTGGCGTCGACCGGCCGCAGCTGGACGTCGATGGTATAAACAAACAGCCATCGAGGCCGTCTGGACGACCTGCATCCCTCTATCTCGCTGCTTCTCTCTATCATTCGCTCATTTGGTGCTACCTGTCCGCGGGCTTACGTCGACATCGCATCTGAAACATACCCGAGCACTCTGGCTAGGAATGACATAACCGAGTCAAAGTAATTTAACGACCGTCTAGCTCCCAGATCCGCCTGGGATTCATCTCACTGCCGAGCAGCTTCAATCCTTGCGCATAACTCCCGTAGCGCACATTGGCCTGTGATAGCCTGTCTTTCTCGTCGCCCACAAGCACCATGGCGTCCGACGAGAGGGAAATCGATCCTTCCGAGTTTGTGCAGCGGATTCAACGGCTGGGCGACCAGCGGGACCGCGAAGATGCCGAGCGCGTCAAGAAGCTCGAGGAGGAGCTGATACAGGGCCGCAGCGAGCGACTAGCGCGCAGAGCAGGTTTGTTTTTATGCCCGTTAGAGTTCACGACGGCTGTTGACCCAAACAGAGCGAGCCCGCTCCATCTCCCCCGACAAGCCATATACGCCCCAGTCCCCGCGCTCTCAAGCTGCCACGCCCCGAACGGTGCAGGAAAAGGCTGTCAGCACGCCCACGCCCGCCATGAGCCCGCCCAGTCAAGACGCCGCCCGCGACGACTCGCTGCAGCGCCTCACGAGCTCGCCCACGCCCTCCGCCCTCGACGACACCGAGCCCAAGAAGCCCGCCACCAGCGCCGCCGCATTGGGGCGCTCCGGCACCCTATCGTGGAACCAGAGGCCCAAGTCCGGCAGCATACGGCGGCCGCTGTCAGTCGCATCGCGGTCCCCCGAGCGCCCGTCAGCCAGCAACACGCCCGAGCCGCCAGCGTCGCCCGAGGCCAATCCCTCCAGGACCTCCATCGCAGCCTCGTTAGGTGCCAAGGACCCAGCGTTCTTCCGACAGACTCAGGACAGTGGAAGGGGCGCAGCGGCATACAGGAAAAACCAGGACGAGGCGGCGTCAGAGACAGGCTCCGTGTCGGGCAGGAGGCAGCTGCCGGGCATGTCACGCGAGTCTACAACAGAGCCCGAGGTCAGCAGCCCGCCTGCCGAAAGCATACGCTCCAGCTCGCCCGGCTCTCGCGGCGGCTCGGTACGCGGCAGCGCCATGCTGAGCAACCGCTTTTCCACCAACACATCGGTATCAGGGGGCGATGCTGAGCCGCTCGCCAAGGGGCGCTCTCCTCTCCCAACGCTCGACTCCCAAAAGTTCGCCCCGCCGTCTGAACAAGGCTCCTCGATCGACGGTGGGGACAGCGAACGTGCCGCACGCGCCCTTGCCATGTCGCCGACACAAGGAAGGATTTCGCCCGAACGGGAACGATCTGCCTCGCCTACCAAGGGCATGGGCGGCTTCGTGCAAAGCGCCATGCTCAAGCGCAGCGATAGCGTAAGCAAGCGGTGGAGCACCCAGACACCGCCAGTCCTGAGCAGACAAAACTCTACCCTGAGCAACCGCGGAAGTGCCATAACAGGCTACGGCTCACTCTCCGGCCTCGACCGACCTAGTCTGAGCAGAGACAACTCCATCGAACCCTCGTCCTCCTCGCGTCCCGCCTCGAGCTATAGCAATGCGACCATCACGGGCGCCGACAAAGACAGCGCACCCAAAGACGAGTTCGTGAAGCCAGCCCTACCTCACCGTCACAGCCGAGCCAAGTCCGTCGCGTCCACCTTCAGCGACAAGGACGCACTCAACGACGACTTCTCGCCCCCGAGCCCCTCGAAGCGGTGGAGCCCAACAAAGTCGACTTGGCTGGAGAGCGCGCTGAGCAGGCCAGAGTCGCCCAAGCCGAAGCAAGCAGCGCCGGCGCAGCCTGCGTGGATGGCAGAGATCAACCGCATCAAGCAACAGCGCAGTAGTGTTGACCTGGGCAAAGGCAGCCCATTCGGAGAGCCATCGTCTGGTCGCACCTCACCCATCAAGGACATACAACTGAAGCCCGTCGGTCTTCGCAGGCCCGATTCTCCCAAGAAGGAGGAAGTTGCTGAGCCCAAGAAGATGGAGACAGTCAAGGAGCAGTCACCCAGCCCAACACCTGCATTGGCACCGAAGCCCTTGTTCACCAAGAAGTCGGAATCCAAGCTCGTGAATGAGACACCAGCAGCGGCAGCTGAGCCTGAAGTCGTCAAGGACGCCCCTGAAAAGGCTGCTGTAGAAGCACCCACTCCTACCCCTACCAAATCGCAATCACCGCCGCCAACAGCTGAGCAGCCGGCAACGCCCACCGAAGCCAAGCCAGTAGCATCGCGATTCACACAGGATACAGGCCGTGGGTCTCCAGCGGCAAGGCCGAAAACCCCACCCAAGAAGGACTTCCGCGCCGGGTTGAAGCCACGCCGACCGCCGCCTGACAATTCGAAGAAGGATGGCGAGGTCAATGAGTTGCAAAACGTCTTTGGCCGGCTACGAAAGGCCGAAACCAAGAACTATGTTGCGCCTGACGTGCTCAAGGATAACATCACACGAGGGAAGACCGCGCTTAACGTGACTGGTGGGCCCAAGCCTACAGTCCGGAAAGACGAGTTCAGGGAGAGCCTCATTAAGAGGAAATCCACCATCTTTGACAAGGCCCAGGAAGAGGGCTCGGCATTGAAGCGATCCGACAGCGCTTCGAAACCATCTCCTCCAACACCCGAAGCTATTGCAAAGAAAAAGGGCCTGAGCCGAGCAGACAGTGACCCAAAGGCTGGCGCTCCGAAAGAACCAGAACCCATACCAGAAGCTCTGGTCAGGAGGAAGAGTTTAGCTGCAAACAAGGCCATCATGAATGATAAGCCAGCACAGCCCGCATCCTCTACGACAAAAGAGCCAGCCATGTCTGGCAAGCTCGCGGGTCGCTTCAACCCTGCATTAGCCGGTATGCTCGCTCGAGGGCCACCACCTCTTGCGACGAACAAGTCTACATCAAGTGCTGAGGTAGACATGTCTCCTACCAGGCCTGCGCAAGAAGAGAAGACTGGACCTGCCCCAGAGCTGCAACACATGACCAAGGGTCGCGCCCGCGGACCGAAGCGAAGGGCGCCGAAATCCACGACTGCCGGACCGGAAAAGACTCAGGACAAGGCTCAGGACAAGGTTGAGGAAAAGGCTCAAGAGAAGGTACCTACTGCTGCTGTTGCTCCTTTGGTGAAACCAGAGCATGTCCTTCCTAGCTCCGAGGTTTCCAAGACTAACGGAAAATCAGAGGAGCGACCAGTAGCCAGGACGCCGGTCAGACAGTCGTCGACTGATAAGCCTGCCACGCCTGCCAAATCATCGCGCATCTCTTCCGGAAATTTCGGAAAAGCCTCCACTCCGGAGCTCCCCAAAAAGCCAGAGTCTCTGGAGTTGGACCGCAGAGTATCTGGATCTCAAGCCACCCCGAAGACGCCACGCCCCGAGTCTATCAACTCACCGAAACCATCATCACCAAGAGTACCGAATAAGCCAACATCTCAAGAATTTGAAAGACGGGTCTCTGGATCGCATACCACGCCGATGAAGTCTCCACTACCAAAGCCAGTCGAAACACCAACGTCCGCATCACCCACATCGACACCGACATCGCATTCTCGATTCTCCCGTCCCCTCCCGACATTGCCGCAGACAGTGTCTTCAAAACCCGCAGCGGAGAGTCCTAGATCAACGCCACTCAGAGAAATATCAACACCCAATGTAGAAATATCACCAGCTAAAGATGAGCCCTCGCCCGAGAAGACGACGTTCTCCTCGGTCAAGAGCGCCACCACGCTATGGGGTAGGTCGTCGGCGTCTTCATCACCCGCTCCAACAAGGGTGAAGTCCCCCATCAAGCTACCAACGCAAGCGGACGAACAAGCTGCGATGAAGGACGCCGGACTGGTTCGCTCATCAGAGCCAGAAACCAAGGCCCTTCCCAACCCGCCACAGCCCAGCCAACAGTCACCGACTGAATCGAAACCTCTGCCACCAAAGCCCAAGCCTGTTGGCCTGGGCTTCAGCCTTGGAAGTCTGGGTGGATTTGTCGCGTCTCGGTCACGGGACTCAAGTCCTCAATTACCCAAGAACGCGCCTATGTCACCACCAGGAAGCGCCAACAGGCCATTCTCAGAGCCATCCATTGTATCGCCAACCATCCCAAAGCACGACGGGATGTTTGCCGACTTCTTTGATGAAGCGCCCGTTACTGAGGGCCAGCTTCCCGATAACGTAGACACCATGTACACACTAAAATCGCCACCACTTGACCTTGGTCCGTCAGGGAAGATTCGTACATTACGCAAGCAGATCCAAGAAGTAACCGGTGACGGGAGGCTTACATCTATACCTATGCAAGAAGAGCACATCTTGTTCCAAGATTCAATGTACTTGTGCACGCACGTCTATAGTGATGCAAGGGGCGGAAGACACACGGACGTGTACCTATGGGCTGGCAATGGTGTACCCGAACCTACTCTGGAAGATGTGCAACTCTTCGCCAAGAACCATGCACGACAGAACCAAGGGACACTTCTAGTCATCCGTCAAGGTCAAGAGACACCGAACTTCTTTGAGGCTCTGGGTGGTATCGTCATCACACGTCGTGGCGCAAAGCCGGGATCGAAAGAGTTCATGCTTTGCGGCCGTCGCCATCTCGGACACCTCGCCTTTGATGAAGTAGATTACTCTCTCAAGAGCCTATGCTCCGCCTTTCCCTACCTCGTCTCTACTTCGACCGGCAAGGTATACTTATGGAAGGGTCGCGGCTGTTCCGCTGAGGAGGTGTCCGGTGCTCGCCTCATGGGCATGGACCTTGCGCCCACGGGCGACTACAACGAGATCGACGAGGGTGCCGAACCTCAAGCCTTCCTCAACAACACCTTTC